ACATCCTGCCTGATCTGGCTGTCGGATCCGGTGGGAAGGTCCTGCTGTTACGGTATTGCTGGAACTACGGGATGCAAATTAAATTTTTGTGGGAATTTATCATTTCATATGCCTTTAGCAGAGAAATATATGAATATAATAAATAAAAATGAACAATATGTGTGGTAAATAGAATTATACTCACATTGTAATTAAGAATTTCTGTTCTTCGAAAAGTTACTAATATCTTTTTGGATGACTAGGTGAACAGAGCTTTGGTTCCCAAACCTGTGACAAGGGGCACCCCATCCATTCCATGTATTTCTTAAATTTCACCACTGGCTCACTTAATTAAACAAATTAAATAATTATATGAGGTACTGATTAGTTTAACACAGTATGGTAGAAGTCAAGCCAACAAGTAGATGGCTATATTGAATGGTTACTGCACATATCGGGTTGATTTTAGGAGAGGTTTTGAAATGGCTAAGATGACACACTCTGACAGACATAATATTATAGTTTTTCTCCCACAAAAAAATAATTTAATCATCATTTGAACTCTTGCACAGTGAAATTCATGTGAATTTAAATCCACCCTTCAACAAATAGACAGTGAAGTTAGAACACACCCCTACTCTGCAGAGTTTGCTAATAATGGTCACCTAAATCAAAGGCAAAGTTATGTATTAGAACCGAAACAGGTAATACATGTATAAAAAGCAAAAATAGAATATCCAGTTACCAAACAGTAAAAGATTCACCACATGACTAGTCCCCAGTCACCTTTAATAGGCTAACTGTTAATTGGTATAACTGAAGACACCAGTTTAAACTTAAACTATTGGACCATTTCTTTTATTGTCCCTGAGTCTAAGACTTAACAAGAGCTTACAGCTGGCGGTTAAAACATTTTCAACAGTTTTCTAAAAATAAAAATTCAGTTGAATGCTTTTAGACTGAACAACAGCTGATAAACTATACACAAGAAATTATTTACACATGCAGTAACTATGCATTAAACAATTAGTTACTTTTAAATTCATAGTCCTCACTTGTCAGTTAACTTAATGTGGTTAAAGGCAACACTCCTTTTGTTCTGTTAGTTAACTGAAAGAGTTGGTTCATGTTCACATTCAAATTTTACTATTACAGTTCATTCAATTGTGTAGTAAAGGGCATTATCTACTTACACAGCAGATGAGGAGAAAACTGCCACTGAGACAAACCTCCAGTGGTTGAGGAGAGGGAGGGAGATTGAGTGCTGGCTGTAGATGACTGCAGCTATGGTGCTGTTCTTCTTCGATCCCACTACTGAAACAAGCATAAAATTCTTTCTGCAGTTAATGCATCCTGGTAGCTAATGCCTGCTCAAGTTCACTACTAGCTAGCTAACTAAGGAAATTAATTTCACTTAATAATCGTAGTGGATGCTGTTATGTTTCACGTTGACTAGCGCCAAAATTACTACCGAATATCTTGCACTGCCAATGCCATGCTCCACCCTGACTGGATGGAGAATATTCCATGCATGATTGAGTGACAGAGAAACCAAAAATTCCTACACCATGATGACAACTTCACAGTGTGGCACTTAATGGGGAACCTTGACATAATAAAATGAAATAATAAAAAAGTGAAATTTACACTTTATATATTCATTTAACCACTTACATATGTAAATTTTTGCAACTAAAGAGTACAGGAGTGTTCATGTATCCTCATCTTTGTTACTCTAGGACCAGACCTGTGGTGTTGGTGACAGTGAGAATGACCTACAATCCGCGCACAATCCCAGCTGACAACTCTGACTGCAGCAAACACCTATCTTACATTGCAAGAGTGTGTTTCTCCATGGTGAGCCGTACTCGGGGCCAATCAGGTGAGCACTCGTTATGTGTTTGATATTCAGAAATACAAATTTATTAGCATAGCATTGTGACCCTGTCTTTGTGTAATTTTACCTCAAATGCTAGCTGTATGAGTGTGAGTGTCGCATCAGTGTAATGCACAGGCATCCCATTCAGGGTGAACCCCAGCATTGCACCCTGTGCCCCCCCCATCCATTGCTCAGTGATTAGAAGATGGGTGAATGTACATTATAACTGTTAATTTTCTGTTGTATACAGGAAATCTGGAAGCACAGCTTAATTATACCTTGACTCTTGACGCCTTTCGAAATGCTTTGCGGTCTCGTGCCTTTTTTGGTCCTTCCCAACCATCCCTGACCAGAATGCTTACCATAAGAGGAACTTCCCAAGATAAGTGTGAAGACCATAAGTTCTCAATACAAGTAAGTACATTGTACAGCTGGTTTTATGGGACGTGCTTTGTGTCAGGAGAGTGGGAACAGGTGTTATATTAAAGAGCATATAAGGAAATCAGTTGTTTTTTTGTTTTTTTTTTAAAACTAGGTCTGTGCCCTTTCTGTTCTGCAAAGTTCATGTGACAGCCCCATTTCAGTACACCTTTAGTGTGCCCTCTACTGGCTTTCATGCTCTACCACTTATTAACTGACTGTCAAGTTTCCCTGGTTTCACCTATGTGTGTGTGTGTGTGTGTGTATGTGTGTTTATAAAAAAACACCTTCACGGAATTAAGTCATATATAACACACACACACACACACACACACACAAATATAGTCATATGGAAAAGAAACTACACTTTTTCAGTTCTGTGATTTTATGTATCAGGACATAATAAAAACATCATCTGGTCTTCACCAGGTTCTAAAATTATTTAAAACTAACCTCAGGTGTCAAACAACAAATTACATTACATATCATTATTTATTTAACACAAATGAAGCCAAAATGGATAAGCCATGTGTGAAAAAATAAGTAAACCTCATGATTCAGTAGCTTGTAAAACCACCTTTGGCAGCAATGACTTGAAGCAATCGTTTGTGGAGTCTATTGTTGCTTCAGTTCTTTGAGGTTTGTGGGCATTTAGTTTAAGCACAGCTCTCTTATGATCCCGCCACAGTATTTAAGTCGGGTTGAGGTCTGGACTTTGACTGGGCCATTGCAACACCTTAATTCTTATATTTTACAGCCATTCTTGTTGTAGATTTGCCGGTGTGCCTGGGATCATTGTCCTGTTGCAGGACCCAGTTTCGGCCAAGCTTTAGCTGTCAAACAGATGGATTCTACAATACTTTGGTATACAGATGAGTCGTTCATGGTTGATTCAATGACTGCAGGTGCCCAGGTCCTGTGGCTGCAAAACAAGCTCAAATCATCACCCTTCAACCAAAATGCTTGACAGTTGGTATGAGGTGTTCGTCTTGATATGCTGTTTTTGGTTTTCGCCTAACATGGCGCTGTGCATTATAGATAAACATCTCCACGTTGGTTGCGTCGGTCCAAAGGACATTGTTCCAGAAGTCTTATGGTTTATTCAGATACAACTAAGCCATGCTGCCATGATCTTAGAAAGAAGAGGCTTTCTCCTGGCAACCCTTCAGAATAAGCCATACTTATTTGGTCTTTTTCTATTTGTACTGTCATGAACTTTAACATTTAACATTCTGAGGCCTGTAGAGTCTGAGATGTAGGTCTTGGGTGTTTTGCAATTTCTCTGAGCATTGGAAGAACTGCCCTTGGGGTGAATTTCTTGGCACATCACCTCCTGGGATGATTGGCAGCTGTCTTAAATGGTTTCCACTTGTGAATAATCTTTCTCACTGTAGAATGATGGACTTCAAATTATTTGGAGTCTGGCCTTATAACCCTTCCCAGACAGATGGGCAACAACAATTCCTTCTGTAAGATCATTGCTGATTTATTTCCTCTTTGGCATTGTGTTACACATCTGAATGCTCCAGACCAGCAAACTACCAAAACTTCTGCTTTTATAAAGGTGGTCACACACTGATTATCAATTAATCAAGTGCATTTGATTAGCAGCACCTGGCTGCTACTTACCCTCTTAATTCGTATGGAAACAGAATGGGTGTATAGTAGGGTGGGTAGAGCTGGCGATATCTGCAAGTGCAATCTGACAAGCCAAAAAGATGCTTGTAAATGAGATGGCAGACCACGCCATTGTAAACACTTTTAGAAACTTGTAAAAACTTTTAGCATGTTAATGAATCCCG